ATTTTATAGAATAATATATATAATGTATATAATATATATAATTTTCTATAACTCTGCAATGTCATAAACCAGGCTAAAAGCTAAAAAAACAAAGACTACTCAATGGAATTGCAGTCTAATTAATGCTGTGCCTGTTTTACATTTTTATATAAAAGATGGCAAAGAAAACATGTTCATTTTCAAATGATGCCTAAAAGGTTTGTTTTAAAAAATACCTCCTAACGTCCTTTTATCTAAAGACTGATAGCACACCCTGCATCTCAAGACGGCTTGGTGTGCATTCTCTCATACTTGTCAATATTTACAATGAAAAATCTTTTATTCAGCAACCTTGACATCATTCTTTTGACCATTAACAACTAAAATCTTTCCCGTGAGTCTTGCATTTTTCCTTATAGCAAATATTTTCCAATTTATGGGGTGAAGATAGTAAAGACAGCATTTTACCATTAATTGCCTGACTGAAAGTCATATTAATGTTTAGCCAATTGCTAGTCCATACATTCATACTTTTCAAATAAAATTGAACACAACATTGCTTTTTGCTAGCTAACTAGAAGTAACAGAAGAGGCAAAATAATCTCAGTTGCTGAACAGCTAGAAGAAGGCATTGAGATTTTACTGTCAAACTACATTTGCCTACCAGCCACATTACTTCAGAGAAGCCTCTTTGTCCCTTCCAGACTGCATTTTCAACCTCTGGACCTCATTTTCGATGACCAATATTAACTGCAAATGCTTACAGAATGCTCCAGATTAAATATTTGGTATGAAAGGAATAGATACAGATATTACATACACAGAGGAGGCATCACACTAAAATGCTGTAATTACTATTGGCAATAATGCAATATTTTTAAAATGTTTCTCCTTTCTTTCATGGACAGTTCTGTTAGGCTACTCTGCCTGCCTGAGGTCTGATAATCTAAGAATTTACAACTTACTAAGAACCTCAGAGTGGATAAAGATATCAATCTATTACAATACAAGATTTTTTTAAAAGAAAAAAAAAAGGAAATGAAGATCAGGACCTACTGAAGGAAGAAGCAAATAAAGTAGTGAGGGGATGACATTTGGTATCACTTGGCATGCAAACAAGGGGATGCCATGCAAAACAGATTTATGAATATCAATGACCAGCCTTCATAAAGCATGTAATTTTGTTACAGTAATCATGATTTGTAACCATGATCCAAATGGTCTTGTCTTCGACAACATATATTAAATACCTATGAAATATTAATCTTACTTAGTATTACTTCTCTAAGAAAACTAGCAAAATATTATAAACATTCTGTATATAAAATCTTAACAATTTTAATTATACACTTCATTTTTTTGAAGGAATTAGCAAAGAGGGAACAGGAGTCCCTCAAGAAGAAGAGTCAGCTGCAAAATAGTGGTTTGCATTAATAACAACAATTTCTAATATGACCACTAGGTGGAAATATTGTACTTACAGTTGGGGAAGTGGCTGCTGACAGCAATGGTAAAATTCCTCCACAAGCAATAATAATATTGTCTACCATCTGGGAAATGAGGTGTATAGTGTTGTGTACAAAAATAATATTTTCATTGCTATTGACAAAGTCCATCACAGACTTTGTGGAGTGACTGCAAGAACAGAAGAAAGGGTGGATTAAAAACACGCACTTAAAATAAAAGCTTAGATAAATTTATTCTTTACAACTGGACCGTGAATGTTTCTTTGATATGAAGGCAAAATTTGGTCTACAGAACTTTGCATGTGAGTTGTCTAAAAACATGAACAGGACTAGTCTAATGAACAAATTGATTGCTATCTATTTTCAAATCTGGATTAGTTTTGGGTACCCAGTTGAAAGCAACAGCTCATCATCTTTTATTCCCATCAACCAGTACTTCACTTCACAGGCAGTTCTGCTGAAAGCAGTGGGATTTTGTCCTCAGTGTGAAAGTTAATATCTAACATTAAGAGCTCACTATACCACACAACCGGCATTTGAAGCACCCTTGATAACACCTAATGATAACACCTGCTAATGTTTTAAAGGAGAAACTTGATAATACAGGGATACCTTGATCTAATATTAACTTTATTAACTAATATCAAATTTAGCATTAGCAATAGCTTTGCAAGCCACAGATGCTAATAAGATTAGCTGAAATCTTAGCATCTCCTAACTGGTGAGAAATTGTCCCATGAAACAGTCACTCTCCCAAAATACAAAAAACACTGTGAAAACATTGAGGAATACTCAGTCTGTCAGTATGTTCTTTACTCAGAAGAACATTGTTGTCAGTCAGCAAACAAAAATTAAAGGCTTCAGTTGAAAACATACAAACTGAGCTTTAATGTCCAAGCATTACCTAAACACAAAGTACAATCACATATCTGGCCAAAAGAAAAATCATCAAAATTGTGTATTTCCTTGTGACTATTACAGAACAACATACTGGAAATTAAATGCAATATAAATTGGTACCGGGATATAAAACCATGCTTAAGCTTTCTAAAACGGAACTATCCTGTCTTGGAAATTAGATTAAATAGTGTCTATTATACCTAAGGGCTCTGATAGCAATAAGATATTGAGTATCTCTGTTAAAGTGTACAAAAAACCTATGAAAAGCACATTGGTGTCATAAAATACAATATAACCACCAAGACTAACCACAATCAGGAGTTGGTGTGCAAAAAAAATATAAATAATTGTCAACTACAAAGAGCAATTCCTTAAAAAAGGTTATAGGGAAAAGGTTTTATTTAAAAGGTTTGCAGGTAGAAAAACTCTCTGAATTGATCAGTTGAAGAAAAGGGCCATTAGCAGACACACAAATCTTCCACATCTCTCAGACAGAAGCAGCAGATTCAAATGGGAAACATAAGCTTGAAGAGCAGCTCAATTTAGTTAGGTATGTATGAGTTATACATCTCTCAAGAAATCAGAAATTGTTACCTGTGAAATAGAGGCTGGGAAGGGATGAAAAGAGGAGATACAAGATACAGAAGGGCACTTCAGCTAACATGAACCCTTTTCCTTCCTGCTATGCCAGTGTCATCCCCTCTACAACACGTCTCATTTTTCCTTGTTGATGGAAACACAAATCATGAGTTAAAGAAGAAACAACCACCTACCTTCTCCAGACATGTACATCTGTTTCTAGTGCAAAAAGCAAGTCTGTCAGGAGCCGCTGGTGCATGGGAGACCATTTAAACTCTGGAATACGAAACATGGTTGTGCGTGGACCTGGACTAAACTGTCGTCGCTGCTCTTCTGTCATCGGCTATAATCGAAATCCCAAGTCAACACGTAAATCCCGGTCTTGCTGGGTGACAGATCGCCCCTGTACCGCCTACATCAACAAGGAGTTGAAAGATCATGTTAACTTTTGATAACGAGTTTTTGATTGGATGGTGAAACTTGAGATGGTCTAAAACTGGGCTCTAGCACAAACTACAAGAGGTACTGAGGTTCCAAATCATGCACTACCCTTCAGTAAAGAAGCTGCTCCTATTGAAATGTCCCCCAATGCAACATCCGCCCATCTTTTAAACACCTCCAGGGACGGTGACTCAACCACCTCCCTGGGCAGCCTATTCCAATGGCTGACAACCCTTTCAGTATAGAAATTCTTCCTAATATCTAACCTGAACCTCCCCTGGGGCAATTTAAATCCATTTCCCCTTGTCCTATCACTCTCCACTAGGGAGAACAGACCAATCCCCAACTCTCTACAAGCTCCCTACAGGTAGTTGTAGAGATCGATGAGGTTTCCCCTCAATCTCCTCTTGTCTAGGCTAAATAGCCCCAGATCCCTCAGCCTTTCCTCATCTCTATTCACATACCACTTGTTTTTTTCCAAACCACTACAGGCAGTTGTCATGTCAGTAGCAGTAATGGCATCATAAGTGCACCATCACAGGAGCGTTTGTCTAGCCAATAATACTGTATTTGACTCTACGATTCTATGACTGATGTGCATTGCATAAACCACGACGAATCCCAACTACATACACTTGGGTGGACAGTCTTTAAGTAATTTTCAGTGTTTTCAGTGGTCTCAGAAAGAGATCAAATATAACGTGACAGTCTCCAACCTCCAGCTTCACCACAGACACATTAAAGTTAACATTGCATTTTACTCATGAAAACAAAAATTCTTTGGGTGTTCTGAAATAACCTGTGAACTGTAAGCGGTATACTATTAAATTTTTCTGTTTAAATTACATTAACCACAAGAAAAAAGGTGGAATTATGTATTAAAGAGAATATAAATCAAGCATTATTTTAAAAATGAAAATTCCTCAGGCCTATGATTATTTGTTACGATTAAAAATACACATAAATCTTAATGAATTTTTTTTGGATGGTTGTAAGATAGGAGAAAGAAAATGTTTTCCAAATGTACGGCTTTTAGTTACACTCAAAATTCCTAACATATCATATGGATCTGCAAATTGTCTACAAACTGTGTACGCCTTAAGAGTCTGTCTTTTTAAGCTACTTAACTCCTTTGATTCTCCATATACTAGTTGTTATAGTTATTTCCCACTAAAATCAATGATAAATGACAATTAATTGATTTAAGTCCATAGATATTAATACCTCTTTGAAATAATTTTCTTAGAAGCAGTTATCAACTGCGTAACCATCAGATTTGCTAATATTAGCAGGTAGGCTAATCCATATTCTTTCATCAGTTGACACATACTTTGAGTGTATCTGAGTGTATCTCTGAAACTCTTTCTTCAGACAATTTGGTACACACTACACACAGCCCAGCAGAGCAAATTTTCCAATTTTTGTTTGGTTCTTCTTCCATGGTTTCATGACACCTGCTTTACTTTAAAATCCTTGAATATAAATACCGGTGCACATACTAGGCACACAGTCAGCTAGCAAAATCTTGAAGGTAGTCAATTCTTTCACCTGAGAACATCCTTAACAGTTATCTTTCATTAAATGCTACAATCTCTGAACAACGCCAGTGAGGAAGTAAATTAGATGCTTTAAAAGTTCAAAGTGATCCTACATTTTGCTGTGTATACAGAGTCTAAATTATTTCCAAGTGTAATCTTCTGTCTTGGCCTTCCCATTTTCAGAATTCTATGGCTCTTACAAAACCACTATTTTCTCAGAATTTTTCTGAGAAGGACCTAAACAAGATGCTTTTTTGTTAATCAGCTCTTGGCTGGAAATCAAGTCACAGTTTTTCTTCTATTATCCCTATTTCTTCTCTTGTGTTAGGAACAAATATGAAGATTATTTACAGCAGCATTCCTGTACAGGAAGAAAGACTAAAGTGCTGTAAGACTATACTGTACTACGGCAAGAATAAAAAACCACTTCATTGTGTATTTCATAGTGAAAAATAGAAATTTTTAAGATATACTAACAAGAAAGTTTAAAGCAGAATTCTAAGAATATCACTTAATCTGTCCAGAAGAACAAAGAAAAATAGATGAGTATCTTAGCTAATGTTTGTGTGGTGTTTTTTTTTAAACTACAGCATCCACAATTGCAGTAATATTCTATATATAACCATGAAAGATTTCACAATCCTTATAAGTTGTGACATTTTCAAAGCAAACAGGCTAGAAGGATGGACACATAATTAAAGAAATGTACTTCAAACATCTCTCAGATCTCATACTATTAATTTACCCAGCAGCAATGAACAGTGATTACATCAGACACATGCATGGCTACACCACCGGAAACTTACCTGGGTTGTGGTTGTTGTCTGGATCTTCCGTATCTCCTTTCCTGCCTCCTTACCATCATCAGATCTTTCTGTATCTGATATTATACTTCCTGCATCAACACTAGGTACAGTTTTGCTACCAGACGACTCTGTCTCAAGAGTTGTGGCAGTCATTTCAGCATATTCTAATCCTTTAGATGATGAAGCCAACTCCCTCTCAGAAATGCTACTCATTCCATCTGAAGTTGTGTGAATTTTGAACTCCTTGTCCTCTATTATACTTGAAGCGCATGTTATATCTACACTGCCCGTCATATGTGCTAGTAATCCCAAATCATCATTTACGCCAAGACGCATCTGTGTCTCTTGAACATTTGGAATAGAAATATGATTACTTGAAAGTTCAGGTAGAAGTTTCTCCTCTTGACTAGGTATTTTATCAAAGAGAAATGAGGTACTGTTAGTAGAAGGTTCATCTTTCTCATCAGCCAGGGTTATTAATGGACCATTATCTTTTTCCTCATTCTTCTTAATAATACCCACACTTCCATGAACATTGTTTTGCAGCTTCTCAACAGCAGCACTATATACATTGTCTAGAAGAGATTCAACTTCTACAAGTGCACCGTTTTCTCCAGTTACCAGTGTCTCTGGTGATAAATCCATATCATCAAGTTTTACTTCAGTAGCTTCTACCTTTTCAGCTTTTATATCAACTAAGAGGTCATGAACTTCTACATGCACACCTCCTCCTTGTCCCTCAGCACTTCCAAGCACTTCATCCGACACCTTTGTGGCCATGAGCAAGTCCCTTGTATCTGTACTGACAGGGTAATCTGTTTCACTTTCTGGACTTTGACTTTGTGAAAGGTCTTCTATCTCTCGAATTTCCATTCCACCTTTTGCTCCTGTTGTCTGAGAGGAAAGACCTGAGATGGTGCTCACATTCCCCTTCTTCCCCTTTTTTATGTTTTCTTCCTCTTGCCTTTGATACTCTTCATACATTTTTGCTAGATACTCCTTGTGAGCCTCATACGTAACCTTAAAAAAGAAAAGAACAGATTATGTGGATGACTATATGCTACATGAGCTTGGGCAAAACCTAACAAGAGTCTTAACAATATATTACATACAGTTTACAAATTGTTTCACAGCAAAGACTGACATCTATGACCAAAAAATGTCACCTTGACGTGCATTGAGGTTGCCACCAGATGGCACTAAATCACTTTACAGTTTATCTAGTGCTAGTCCCTTTGTGGGAGCTGCCAGTAGTTAAAAAACCAAACCAAAACAAAACAAACTACCACACATGCATGAGCCGTTTCTTACCTTGGAATGAGCTATTGAAAGGGTATCCACCCACACTCTCCAGCCTCCCCATTCATATTTTATTGCATGATACAAGAGAATACGGAAAATGTTGTAAACCATCTCTGTGATCTTCTGTTCTTCAGAATTCTTAGGGTTAATGTATCCCAGAGAAAACATCCAGTCCTGCCACACCGAACACTGAAGTAAACATCTAAAGTGAAATAATTAGGTCAAAATATATCCAAACAAAGCTTCTTTATTTTCACATTCTCTTGGTTAGAACGGGAGAAACATCTCTCCTGAACATCAATCGAATGGTAGGAAGAAACTTAAAAAAATGTCAGGAGGAATAAAATTTTCAAGTATTTTCTGAACAGAAGAACCCAGCATTAGTTGTTGAACTAAGACAACTATCCACAAATCTATTCCATTTATTTTTTATATATTCCATTTAATATACAGTATAGAACTCTGCACCATGTATAACAGATTGCTATAACCCACAAACCAAGGACAAGAAAATACTATTTGTAGTGACATACCTTCTGTTTTCACGGCTATTACTAAAGAGTTTTATCATATCAGATAAGAACAGACGCCGAACTTCCATCAGCTCTGCACTTGGTGTGGAGTTTTTTAACAGCGTTGCCACCACCTTAAGAATCACTTTGAAAGAATAATTTAGTTACATAACACATTTTAACAACTTTAAAAAAAGAAAAAGGTTGCTCACAGCAACTAATGTAAGTAGTAACTGAAACCCTTATGTTTCTGAGACACACTAATGAATTGTTCTTGCTTCATGAACCATATTCTTTCAAACAAACCCACAACCTCTAGGTAAGACATTTATCATGCAAACATAATATATTGTCCTTACTTGGATTCTGAATTTTCACTGTAGAATCTGGCTCTGGATGCGGTTTATGAACAACTTGAGTGCACACTTGTTCTGTCAAAATCTAAAACAGAATATTAAAGTTCCTTTTACCATTTTAAGTTAATTTTAAAATTTCTTAAGAACCTTTACCGTGGACACACTGTAATGTCCTATAAAAAATTTTTGATTCAAATATTTTTATTCTTGAAGAATGGAAATGAGCAATTCCTCTAGGCTAGGATCAAAAAAATTTCATGATTGTACAGTGTCTGGCTAACTAAATTTTAGTTAGCTAACTAAATACACAATAATGGTGTTTTAAAGGTATTTCATTCATATTCCTCATAGTGGTACACATTCATAGATCAAAAATTCTTTCATGAGCAATATACATCAAAAGTTATCCTCATACATTCTGCCCATAACCAAACCAAATTATTCTTAAAAATGAGTTTGGCTTTCTCTAGGTAGGAAAGAGGAATAGTCACAGACAGATTCCATTGGAATAATCCTGAGACTTTACATAACGAGCAAGACAGATCAGTCTCCTGTTTCACGAGTTATACAAACTAATTAATCCACATTGAGGTAACACCACAGACCTTTCACATTGGGATGCTTGTCATGTGTTCTGTGTTATTCTTTTCTAGTCTATTATTTCTAAGAACAAGCTAAAATTTAACAGTATTCACACAGATCTCTTCATATATTCAAGCAAATGTATTTCAAAACAGAATAATTTTACCAGTAGTTCTTATTTATTTGAAAGCAGAACTTTAGCTTATTTATTAATCAATAATCAAATTAATGTCAGTTGTAAACAAAATACCTTTCAACGGGCCTTTACACAATGGTATTTAAAAGAGAATGCAAATATGCCTTTGCTTTTTATGCAAAAACATGGAAAATATATGCATCAAATCCTTGGCAAATCTTGTGTACTTATAGCACTTCACTCCCTTTTCTCCTCTGGCTATTTTTTCAAATGTACAAGCCTGTGGATGCTGGACTCCTAAGGACTTCAGTTTTGCCCCTGAGTTATGTATTTTCTCAGAATAACAATCACACCATTTTAGGAATAATCGAAGACTGGGCATGATCTTTATGTATTTTCAGGCATGAGAACATAGGTTTTGACCAACTTGATGCTGACAATATTTTGCTTATCATAAGTTTCTACAAAAGCCTGGTAGAGGCTTTCACTTGCCTCAAGCATTATCTGTGACATAAAAGCAGCTGTCTTCAGTTATCATTTTGGCATAATTTCAGCATTACTAGCTAAAAAAGAAAAACAGTACTTCTCAGAAATCTGAAAGGAATGGAACAAAAAATAAATTTTAAAAAAAAGTATCACTTTGGCTCTAGCACTTTCCATTGCAATAGAAACAAACTCTCCTAAACAATGGAGGAGTGAGAGCAATTAGAGGTCTGGAGTAATTTATTTTTTTTAGCAGGATCTCTTCTTTCACTCTGTGTAAGTGTTATAGAGCCTTTGTAAAAATTATGAAATTATGACATTGTTAAAAATATCCAAAGCATGGCAAAAGACATTCTAAATGAAGAAATCCTTTCTTAGAATTTCTATCTAACATTTTCTCAAAATTGTTGAGAATTAGGATATCCTAAAGCACAGAGTCACAACAATATAATTAAGCCATAATTTCTACAATAGTAATGACAATCTCTATGTTTAATAATTTGTACCTCATAAAGTGTGTTATATGTTGTAACGGTCACTGTATTTGTGTGTAGCATCAACCTTTCTCCAAGTAGTGTAAAAAGACTGTGAGTATGCATGATTTCAACCTTTCTCCTGGAAGAGAATATAAAAACGTTAGGAAAATGCCAAGCACGTTGAACATTTTAATGCAAAAATCCAAAAGCCAAATATTTTGATGTACTAAAAAGTTCTCAAACTTGTTATTCTGTAAATACTATGAAATAAACATCATTTAGGATCTTTACCAATATGAATGCAACTGCAATAATACACAACAAGGCTTTCAGAAAGAAATGTTGCATTTGGGATGGGTTTTTCAATAAAATAATTCACACATCGTTCTCACCCTCTAGGATTTTCACAGTGGAAAAAGACAAAGGAATCTCTTTCTATCTTATTAAGGCTTAAAGAGTTCAAGATGACCACAGGCTGGCTAAAATGTGATCACTGCAGAACATTATCTTTTTTTGCTCTCTCAAGGACTCAAGATAATTCAACTTCAGATCTTGCAACAAAAATACTAATACACACAGATTAATCAGTACTGCCATTCTCTTTAGCGAGCATCCTCTCATGCAGCCAAAATAATTAAATCCTGGAATAATGTCTGTTATAATGCAAAGGAAACAAAATCCTGAAAAGTTATGAAATTCCAAGTGACTGACTTGATTTCTATAGCTAGGATCAAAAACCTACTCAGTTCACATCAGTGAATTCCATCTGTCCCAAAACACTACTCTTTTAAAAATGCAAATAACATCATAAATAAACAGAGTACTTCTTGTAAACTGCATTATCGAATGTATCTACCACTGTATTGACTATTAAATAAAAAATATTATTCAAAATAATTAACAATCTATATTAAAGCAGCCAAAAATACGAAGTACAACAAAATATATGAAGTTTCTGTAAAATTTTATGCATTCAAAATCCAAGAACCTCCCTTTTCAAGATTCCTGATGATAATAACACAGGATTAAATTAAATAGATTAATTCCTAAATTTTTAAAATACCTTACATTATAATTTTCAAATAACCACAAGAGAGGCAACAGCTCATAACAGTGTGCTCTCTTCTGTGCACAGAAAAGATTTCATGAATTGCTAAAGCGAAAAACTACAGGTGTAGTAAGCTATGATGTAGCACATGTAAGTGAAAATTCGTTGGAAGGTTTAAATACGTAGATAAAAACTAAAAGTAAATAACACACTATGATTTCAGTGCTGGTGCAGAAGCAATCAAAGATGGCAGAGAAGGAAAAGAACAGGATTTTGCCAACTGTTAAGGTTAGACTAAGTAGTCTATCATCACAGATCACAAAGAAAAATCAATTTATTCATCTAACACATTACTGGTAACTTCTCCTAAGAATCAATTACCTCCATTCTATAGTTTAATCTACAATGAATGTGTACGAACTACAGCAATGGTATTTGGGTTTGTACCCACACAGTTGTTATTAATACTGTACTGGTTCACATTTCATAAATCAAGTTTAGAATTATAGAATCATAGAATGCCCTAGGCTGGAAGGGATCTTAGACTTTATAACATCTCTTTATGCAATTATGCTTTAGTGTATTAAAATACAATGCCTTTTTTCCATAATGAAACAGCTTATAATTTTATAATTGCTTAAAATTTCTGTAGCTGACTATTAGTCTACAAAATCACGCATATGCACATATATGTATGTGCAGAAATTAGGTACATCTCGCATGTACTATCTGTAAAACCTGAAAAGGGGGGAGCATTTTTGCTTGCTGAAATCTGCATAATTTGTGAACATTTAGAGATGTTAGGAGGTCTGAAAATTATAAAAAAACAACTTTGAAACTTACACTGAGTAATCAAGGAGATTTCAATGACTTCGATTACATGAAAAACAAAGTTAATTTTGTGCTAAGTACTTACTTCCAGTCTACAATGGAAAGCACACTAACACAACCATAATTACCAGAAGATGCTAAGGACCAGGAAATGAAATTTCAGCTTCTGAAAAATCTCACATTTCTTTTTCTGTAATGTTCCACTGACAGGGTTTGCTACTTGATTTACTGGATCAGGAATAAATATTTTAAACAAATGTAGTTATGTGGACGCAGTCAGGCTCCTGCAAGTCAAACCTTCATCTGCTTTATCTTACTCAATCCAACTCCTATCAATGTGAATGATTTTTAGTAAATAATGTTTGAAAAGCCCTTGGAGATTCCTGAGTGGACTATCAATTTGTTTTATTAATTCCCTGAACACTATTTGGCTTGCTGGATCCCAAAAGAAAAATCCCATTTGGGAACATATTCTCAGCTAACTGTCTCTCAATTATACAGTCATACTTTATTGATCTTACTGAGGAAAGTACGTCTGGCAATACCGACTGCTGGCTGGACTCCTAGATCCTTTCTCTTAGAATCAGAGAATCAGAGAATCATTCAGGTTGGAAAAGACCCTTGGGATCATCAAGTCCAACCTATAACTCTACTCTACAGAGTCCACTCCTAAACTATCTAAACAACCTTTAAACACCTTCAGGGAAGGTGACTCAACCACCTCCCTGGGCAGCCTCTTCCAATGTCTGACCACTCTTTCTGTGAAAATTTTTCCTAACATCCATCCTAAATCTACCCTGTTGCAGCTTGTGGCCATTCCCTCTAGTTCTACTGCCAATTCACCCGTGAGAAGAGACCAGCACCAACTTCTCTGTAATGTCCTTTCAGGGAGCCGTAGAGAGCGATAAGGTCTCCCTGCAGCTCCCTCTTCAAACTAAACAGCCCCAGCTCCTTCAGTTGCTCTTCATAAGATTTATTTTCTAGTTCCTTCACCAGCTTTGTTGCCCTCCTCTGTACTCGTTTCAGCCCCTCGACATCCCTCTTGTATTGAGGTGCCCAAAACTGGACACAATACTCAAGGTGCGGCCTCACCAGTGCCGAGTACAGGGGGACTCCCTTCTAAGGAGGTTCTACATGAAGTTACCTGTGAAGCACACAGCTAAGTTTTACACTGCACAATCTTCTACTGGAATAGCATTTTGGGTTACCCCAGCAGGAAGCTAAACACCACGTGCTGAAGGGGAGAAGGGAGCAGCAGCAAGTTACACAGAACTGCATCCTTTTAAATTCTTTCTTAACACCAAAATATGGAAGATGAGACTAAGTACATCTATTTTGTGTCAACAGTTCTTTAAATGTGACTATTTCTTGCTCCAACAATTTCTATGTGAATATCTCTTGCAGAGAGGTAAGTCTTCAGCTCCTTGTTTATGACCATTTACTTACTCTCTTTGCTCTTCCTTCTGAAATTTGCCCATGTGAATAACATATTGTTTTTTCTATTTTATTTCTCTCATAATTTTGAAGCTATTTTTAAAAGTAACACCCTGCAACTTTGTTGCAATGACATTGAAAATTCCAGAAATCAATTTTCGGTGACATTCATATGTTGCCTTTTATCCTTAGCTGAACATGCAATATTCTAAACATTTCTAAAATTAATATTTTGGGAAAATGTATTTCAATCATTTTAAGACTTGAATGTCAGCATATTACATATTTTGCAGACAATCATTGTATCTTTTCAAACATCATAGCAGTAACAATTTAACTGCAAAATTAATTTTATCCTAATGCATAAAGTAACTGCGCAAATTTTTAATCAGAAAAAAACAACAATTTCATTTTAATAAATTTCTAAAGACTGTCAAATTATATAGAGTAATTATGAGAAAAAGCCAAGAACTGTGAACTTACATATACCACCATATAAATTTTAAAACTACACTTACTTATGACCCAAATGTTTGAGAAAATATCCAAGGACCTTCAAAGCTTGCACCCATATACTCTCACTTTTGGAAGCCAATAACTTATAAATTACTCTAAAAAAGAAAAAAAATTCAACAAGTTCTTTCAGTTTATTACTAAACATATATACAGACTGTATTTCATTGAACAGGGGTATTCCTTAATAAATAAAAGTATAAAAACAGCAATTTGCACAAAATATAAGGATATATCAAAAGCGCCAAATACAGTTTGATTATGAATTCTTTAGGTTAAACACATGGTGTCTTCTAGTTCAGTTCAATGTTTTAGAACAGAAAGCGACAACCTTATCTTCTACCTTGGAACAATCAAAGAGAAGACAGTCTGAGAAGTTGTAGCTTACGACAAGGGAAGCAGGTAACATCCTGGAGTTTCTTGGGAGTACCTGGATGCTACTGAAAATTTCTTTTCACTCTTAAAAACTCTACTCAGTATTGTTGCTCCACAGGATAGGGTACCTACATTTAATCATACGATATTTAGACTGAAATCTCATTTGCCAGATACGGCAATACGTTAGACAAAATCCCAAATATACCTATGAAGCCGCATCCAAATTGAATTAAAATTTGAAGTAGAAAAAAACAACCCACTCTCTGGTTTTAAATCTTAGATTAAAAAGGCTTCAAAATGTAACTAATTTAATTATCTATTATTTAATTAATATGATTGGTTCAAGCACAAATTCTACAGTCTTTTAGAAAGGAGACCAGACTTGATCTGAAGGCGCCAAGAAACAGAAAACATCACCTTTTCCGCTGGACTGTTCTTCAACAAATTTTTTCATTTATGTTTCAGTTTCCCATTTGAATTAGCTGATCTTCAGCTCCTAGCCATTCTTTTTAATCTTTCTTCCCTAAAGAGTGCTGTAGCAGACAGTATCTTCCACTTCCGAAATTACTTACGCCATTATCAAATGACTTCTGAGGTTTTCGTCCTCTGATAACCTAAGCAGATGACCTCCTAATTCTACATGACGCATTTTTTGAAAAATGTTGCAGTTCTGTGCACTCTCTTTACTTTCTTAAGACAGACTTTTAAACACCATCTAACAATTTTAATAGTGGTGCCACCAATATTAGATGAAGATGTCTTAAATCATCCAGATAATTTGCATTCAAAACGTATCAGCAATAGAATTCTGGGAGAAAACAGACAACTAGAGGCATAAAACTAATCATGAGTTCACTGAGTCTTCCTTTCAGCTAGACTTGTTATCCAAACAATTTTAAGTAGAGTTATTTGTAGGAAGATTTGAGTATTTTGGCAAAATGAAGCTTGAATTTGTCAGGTAGCAGGTACTTTGGTTTTCTTTCCTCTCTGTTTTACAAGCCCCTTGCTTTTTTCAAAATACTTTCAGAAAAGCACAAAATAAAATTCTATAGTCAATATTAAAATAACATGAAAATTCTTAATGCAGGGATTTTGTCAGAGATTATCAAGTTAGACACAAGAAAACAACAAAAACACTGTTTCTTTGGAAATTACTACTTATTAATTTTACTGTCACACAGACAAACATTAATTCAACGGATAGGTTTTTTTAATCTTTTTAGGAAGATTTTCAGAAATTTCTTCCTCCCTCCAGATTATGTTAAACATCTGAAGACAGAATATTCAAAATTACTCTGAAATAAATACTTGGCTTTTTGATGCAGCTTGTTAATTACATATTCTATTTGAGAAGCAAGTACAACAGCACATTTACTTTCAAATATCATAACAATAACCTTAAGCAGAAAATAGTTTCATCCAAGCTATCAAAACCACTCCATTTTTTAACACGATATATAGCCCAAGCTACTAAAAGTGTAGTTTGAAAGATCAGAAAGCGTGAAACTTATGTTTAAAAAAAAAAAAAAGCAATCTGGAGAGTGATGATACTGAAACTACTTTTAAGGTATTTTCTCACTTCACTGTCTTACCGTATCCCATTTCTCTGATCAAAGGCAGGTATCATGGATGCTGGATGTTCGGACATTAGTGCCACTAGCAGCTGCAGCACATCATGAATATTTTCATCCTGTACGACAAGCATCAATGTTATTCTACAAACTAACCTCAGCAGCAGGCTTCCCATAGAGCTGGTACAATTGGTTACAGTACAAGATAGGTAATTACAGAAATGTACCTCATGCATTGTTAATAAGTAATTTAAGATGCTCTGTAGTTCATCTTCTTTTACTCCTCGATCCTATAAAAAGAAAAAAGGAAAATTAAAGGCATTATTCAAAGAAAATATATTCTTTATTTTTGGCTTAGGAAAATTTTGGACCAAGTGAAATAATCCTACATTATTTTTCTATTTAAACTTTTTCACTCCATTGCTTTTCCTTAACATATTGACAATTCAAAACAGTATGAAGCCAGCTCTCTTTTCCTTCCAGAAAGGATTCTTATAGCCTGGGCCCTCAGAGTCCATGAACTATTATTGCCACTCCTCCAACCCCTGACTAAGAGCACAAAAAACCAGAAGGAATAAGCCAGGCTAGAAAATACTGCTTTTCAGTCTAGTGTCAAATGGCAGATTATACCCTGAAGATTAACATTCAACTGAAATAGAGAGAAAGAGTCCTAGACCATTCCAACCAGTGGAAGAACCAGAAGAAAAGGACAGAGCAACAACTAACGTAACTGCCATTACCGTTTTCATTTGATCAATCAAGGAACTATTTCCTATCACAAAAAAAACCAAACTCAAATATCTGAAAGATTCTATAGCATCCTATACTATTTCTGCAAGTAAATTTTATTAAATATATGTGACATAATTTGCTGAGGTTTATCAGAAATATTGTATGGCTTTACTAACTTTAGGTTGATTGGAAGTATGTGCATGAACATTAAAATTACCCAGAAAAACATAAAATACCTGACAGTTATTACATATTTACTACCATGAAAGATCCTATTACATGCATATACAAGATCTCAATACTTTCCATCTGGAATAGACTGATTTACCTTCAAAATAAGTTGTTTCAAAAACAGAAGCATAAATGCCCTTAATGATATGATTTCTTTCTGTGAGGGCCGAGGACCATCTGGAAGAAGCAAAATATATCACTGTTAAATATAAACTAATTCCCTTAATGGCTGCAGCTTCTTAAGGAAATGAGAGTTCCTACAACAGATGCTGTATTCTATTCATTTTATAAAAGTTTTTACTTGCAAATGATATAATTTAAAACCTTTCAGAATCACATTTTACAACACCAATATACATAAGTGATATTTCATTTGAAAAAAAAAGAAATCCATATATATACTATTTTTTAAAAAAGACATAGGAAGATGAAAGGTAGCAATCAGGTCTAGATTCACACAACTAAATTGAGGTGTATATTCTGTAGGTTTCTTCATGTGAGCTAGGATTTTCAAATCCCAATACAAGCAACTAGTCCCTTTATTGACTAGATCTACTCAAATGACCCAATGTAAGTGATCAGTTCAGGATACAATAATATTAGTCCTATTGCCTACCCTGAGTTGAATTCCACTGAAAACAATGGGAATTTAAACATCATGCAGGCTACACTGTGGACATGTATACTTAAAAGAGTCTGAATACAAAGTTGATTCTCACCTGAAACATGTAGTAACAATTTGGAATAACTAAGCCATTATGTTAAATACATAGTGAATGAAAATCAACAGGGAAAGGAATAATGAAATATTAGTTATGACCATTGCGTGTAGCAGAAATTGAAGCTATTTCAGCTTAGGCTGAAGAAAGGCCATGAAACAGAAACTGATCAACAGAAACTGCATCCTCGAGATAAAGAAAAGAATGCAGAGAGAAAGAATTCAATGAGGAGCAAGAAGACTTTGGACCAAATATGAGTATTGGACAAAACTATCACGTCAGGGGAGGTGAACTTGGATTGTAAGGGTATAATTGTATAGTGATTTCCTCGTTCAGGGTCCCTCTTCGAGGGTCCCAGTTTGAGTTGAATTAAGTCAACTCTGTGGCAGAACTTAGGGTCTGAACTCTTCTTTACAGTCGGGGGCTAAGGCTGGATCCAGTTGCACCTAGACCCCTCTCTGTGAGGAAGTTTAGAAAGCAAACGATTCCAGTCTGAACCTCATGATTTGGCAGGAGGGACTTCATAGACTCTTAATAACAACAACCCATAATACAAATGTGCTTGTGAAGTACATTAGGAAAACTGAAGTATCTAAAAAATCAAGAAACAGAGCCAGAACAACTATATTCACTTGAAACCTGCTCTATTGTATTTTCCATTCATCCCTTTCATGAATAGCTGAGATTAATCTGGAAATTCCTTTATTGAGCTGCTGCTTTTCAAACAATGTGTGCCATAGATAGTCTTACATTTTGCACAGTAAAAATAAAAGCAGTCTAATTTATTTTTTCATCAACCATTTCATCTTATGCGGATAAACACATATTAATAACACTGTATCTCAGTATTATTTCCAATCCAGATGAATGCAACTTTTTAATGAAGACTCTTTTTTATTCTCTGGTGACACTCTTCGACATGAAGCCTCCGCTGTACACACAGCAATTCTAGTTTGCAAGAAAGGCAAACATGAAGGTAAGTTATATTTGTTTGACTAGGGAGGACAAAAGAAGTAGTTAATCCTCTTAAGTTTTCTTCCCTGTTTAGAGGTGGAGAATGGACAGCTGGGTACTTTTCAGAGAGCAGCAAATAAATCTCAACCTCTCCCCACTACTGTGTGTAAAAATAGTAAGAATATAGCTGTAAAAAATCTATCAAATAAGGTTTAATGATATAGGAAAGGGTTTATATCCATACAATCTAACAGCACTATGAAATATCTATTTCTCATTGTAAAAGCAGAAGAAAGTTAGATTTTTTCGGTACTAGCTGCAACTATATTAAGTATTGCACGTGCTTTTGTGGCAATGGTATGTTTCTAGCCAGCAGCTATTTTTTCCCTAATTCAAATGCAGATTCAACTCCTCTAACTGCATCACAGAAATCTGTCTCTTCGCACACCCTCTTCCCTCTTACACTTCCTTTGGATTCAATATTGGACAATATCTGAAAAAACTGAGGCCTAAAAACTTTTCCCCCCCCCGCCTCTTTTGGAAGACTGCAATTATGGAAACAGATAACAGTACTAAGGCAATGGGATTGCTCTGCAAACCATTTCTGCCACAGATATTTTAAGGAAGGTTTAAAAAGAAGATATCCAAAATTAATTCAGAACTTCTTCAAAGATGCCTGGAGTTTCATACTTCTTATTCAAATACCCACTAGCCTCTCTGGAGATGTGTGAGAACTGTGAAAAGGGTTCTTCAACATGCAAAAGATACCAAAGGAGTTGTTGTTTGCAGGTTATATGCCAAGCAGGCAGAATAGTGCTTTTTCCCTCAGTCCTCTAGCACTATTTATTTCTTGTATTTCAGTTGTTTCTTGGAGCTTCATTGCACTGGAGTCAAAAAAAGGGGACAGCCTCTACCCAAAAGACTTCATTAGCTTGAAAAATTAAAAGAGGACTACCAGTGAAAAATAAGGCTGGAGAAACTGGAGGCTATTGAAGCAGTAGACAGCTACAACAGTCATCTGATACAGATTGAAGGGAATTAATTAATCTGGCAAGGTGTAGAGCTACATAAAATGGGTTTGCTCCTGTAACTGTTAAGTCATCACTTTCTGGCTTCATTACTAGTTGAAGAACTTCCTAGCTGAAGATTTATTTGTAAAAAACGTATTATTGACCAAAGAATGGTATAATTTATAATTTTTGCATTATACAGACATATACTGAGGTGATGAGAGACAAGTAGATCTTGTTTTTCAACTCAAGCATTGAAAAGTAGTTTAGTGTCTATTAATCTTTGTCCTCATCACTGGATATAGACAATTCAGTGTCATCATCACTCAGAAACTGATAAACAGTACTGCTAAATACTAAAAACAAACCCAAACCAAATCAAAAACAAAGATAACCCTTTTAAAATCTGGACCATAAGTCCCTCATTCAAAATAGCAACCTTCTTGCTAATTAGTAAAGAGAAAGGATGCCTTCCTTACCACACATGAGAATGAGTCACTAAATTATTTCCTGCTTTCCGATTTCTTTATATATGTACTTATTGCAGATAGCACATGATTTGCATCGGATTTTTTTTAATATATGCTCATAATGAGAGTTAGTCAGCTTTATGCAGAAAAAAATAAATGAAAAAAAATTATCTAATTCATCCTTGCAGCACAGAGCAATTACAGGGGCATTAAAAAAGAACTAATTAAGAGGAATAAGTAAATATATTCACAGAGTAAAGCACAAATCAGTACTGGTGTAAAAACCTGATTGGGAACTTTGAATAATAAAAATGTTGATATCCTGCCTTTGGAAACAAAAAGATGTGTTATCAGTTCTACAGGCAACCAAACACAACATTCTTCCATCTGGCTTTTTTAATGTAAAAACCATGATTTCTCTACTCCTTAAATTCATAAAACATTATACGGATAGCTGAATCTGATCCCCACATATGCAAAAGTAACATCACATGTTACATGGATCACAGAAGGATCTACTTCTTCTTACTGTTGCAAAGCTAATGAGAAACTGAGTTTTACTCTAACCCAGCCCTTGAAATAACTGTGCAACTTTTTCTAATCGGAAAAACTATGATTACTTTATCTTTATAATAATTTTCATAATTCCCACTTTTCTAGTTCAGGTTCAAAAATACAGGACATTAAAAATGTTCTTGAAAACTGTTTGAGTTAACTTAGACAGTAACAACTGTGCATTCTCTAGCGGGAGGCAAGATACTGCTCGTAAAGGTCCATTCAATGTAAGAGCCAAGAAGAACATAGGAATCAGTAGGGGAGAAAAAGAAATGCTTGGCCAGCAGGCCAAGAACGAACAACACAACTCAGTAGTCTGAAAGTTCAATGCACATTTCTACCATACAGAAATGAAGTTGCAAGTATTTTATAGGGATGCTCTGGAACAGGGTCCAAAATTACAATTTAGTACAATACATTTCTGCAAGTTGTTAGTACTGGCTACTCTAAGGTTTTATTCCTTAGAAAAAAACCAACAAAAATAACCCCAAAAACCCAACTCCACAATATTTAGTTTCTTTTTCTGTTATTGCCTTCATTTTATGTTTTCTCACTACTATACCACTGTTAGCCCATTAGTATTTTCAGAGGATGCTGTGCAGTTGGTAAGTAATTCCAATGAACATTTCTCAAGGCATAAACATCCTGGTAGGATCTAATGATATGTCTCTTAAATTTAGATAAATTGCACATCAAATTACTGGATTATTTTTTTTTTTGGCAACACATACAAATATGTGGGTTTGCCCCTTCTGAGAGACAATCACAGCTTCACTTTTCTTAGAATCATGGAATGATTTGAGTTGGAAGGGACTTCAAAGATCATCTAGTTCCATCCCCCCTGCCATGGCAGGGACATCTCCCACTAGATCAGGTTGCTCAAGGCTCCATCCAGCCTGGCCTTCAACACTTCAGGGATGGAGCATCTGCAGTCTCCCTGGGCAACCTGTTCCAGTGCCTCACCACCCTCAGGGTAAAGAATTTCTTCCTACTATCTAGTCTAAACCTACAAAAAAAAAGCTTCCACCCATTACTCCTCATCCCATCACTACAGGCACTTGTAAAAAACCCCTCCTCAGCCTTCCTGTAGGCCCCCTTCAGGTACTGGAAGGCTGCTATGAGGTCTCCCTGGAGCTTTCTCTTTTCCAGGCTGAACAAGCCTAACTCTCTCAGCCTGTCCTCACAGGAGAGGTGTTCCAGCCCTTTGACCATCTTGGTAGCCCTCCTCTGGACTCACTCCAGCAGCTCCATGTCTTTCTTGTGTTGAGGGTTCCAGAGCTGGATGCAGTGTTCCAGGTGAAGTCTCACAAGGGCAGAGTAGAGGGGCAGAATCACCTCCCTTGACCTGCTGGTTATTTTTATTAGTATACATTTCTTTAAATATTAGTCTAATGCATATTTTTAAAAGATGAAACGTCAAAGAAGAACAAAGGCTGGAAACATAATGCTGAGATGTCTCTGGTAGCTTG